CACCGAAACTACAAAATATGACAAATCAATGTATTTTTTTGTATTTTTCTCGAAAATATCCATGTATTATTGTAGAATGATTGACTAGCCTTCATTCGTGCAATCATAGAGTCTGTAAATAACTATTATCTTATGAATCTTAATTTTTTTCTTATCACTTCCGGTGGCGCAATTTTTACTCCAAAAGCTCGTGCTTAGACTTCCATTAAATGCTGATTATCTCGAAAACRASCTCGGGACACCCTATTTTTCTTTCCAGATTTGGAATCAGCATTAAATTTCAATTCGAAAAATCGAAGTTTTAAAAAAAGTTTAAATGAATTTCCAAAAGTAGGCAGTCACCTTAATAGGAGACGACCAGGTCAACTGATGATGTCGCGCTTGACAGGGAAAATTTTTGACATGCTTAAAGTATTTCCATATTCAATTTAACTGTCTGTCAGATTCATTGGTCTTCATTTGTACCAGTTGTTTTGCAGTTTTTAGTGAATTGGATAATTGTCTTCCCTCGTGTACACGGCCAGTTTACTTAGTCCGAAGAGAAACCAATGAGTCAAAATGGAATAGAAACGTCGACGACCATCCCAGCTAGTCGAAACGTAGGCAAAGTAATGCCGCTGAACAAACGTAACGAATGCTCCGAACATTATGCAAAGCCCACCGAAAGCGCACCCACGATATCCACAGAACGAGTTTACAGCACGATTATAAAGAGCCCTGGACCCAAACGCCATGTAAAACACAATAAATCGGTCAGGATTAGTAAACTGTATAACTGTATAAGTGAATCAACAACCAAAATCACTCAGATTCCATTCCTGGCCACAATACTCGTAGCACCTTGCTTGCACTATGCAACAACTAGTCTAACACTTACATATCCTATCAAAACTTTAGCTAGGTACAACTGCCACGGTGGGGGTTACTGTTGCGAAATCTCAGTATCACGTGTTCGGGACGTGTGACGGTAACTGGAATTAGGGACTACTTTACGGATCATTTGGTTACTACAAAAGTACCACAGAAACTCATATTCGATTATTTCGGGGATTATAGTTGGTGTAGCAATAGTAAACTGCAATAACGATTTTCTAAATGCTTTTGAATACAAGTATAAATAGTATATACGAAATGGAAACCTTCTGTCAGAATGGTCCAAAACTGAAGAAACCATCAATTTATGGATTGTGCTATTGATAGCATATTGTAATTCAGTAGTGCATAGAAACCTCGCCATCTCGAATTAATATGACTGATTGTAGCTCTATGGATTAAAAAAAAAAGTTTACTTGACATATGCCATTGAAGGTGCTGAGATGCACAAATTCCTGTATAGTCATGGACGCTGAATAAGGCCAAACCAACACTGTGGTTCAGAAAAGTTCAGGCAGTTGACGTCTCAAAACTCAAAAATATCTTGACGAACAAACACTCGTGATATTATTTGAAAGCTGTCTCATTGGTGGGGCAAATAGCAAGAAACATACTAAAAAGTAAAGTATTTTCTTCGGAAACGCGAGAAGGTGAAAACTGCGGGCTTGCCGTTTTTCTGCCCTGTCATCAACTTTTAGATACCTGTTTGATCTAGAGTGTTCAATCTAGAGGGCCTAGATGAAAATTACTCTATGTAATTTTAGTTTCCCTGCTAAACTGTGTAGTTTTTCTATATAACAAAGCACTTCGGTCCGATTCCTCGGGAATTTAGTGAGTTCGCTTTTAGTCTAGTATCGGTGATTTCCTCGTCTACGCTTTGGGAAACATCGAGACTCTCGGGAATGCAAAACTATTTGCCAAGGTGACAAGACCGCATTAAGTGTACAATATATAGCACTTTATACTCTAAAGTGTACTTACACATAGGTCCCGCTTGCAAAGGGTTACAATTTCACTGCACTAAAAAGCTGCACTAAAAACGAAGCTATTTCCTTATATATGCGCGTAGTGACGTCAGAGTACACAACTACTAAATAAACAAACAATATTGTAACTAAGGTCTTATAATCTAAATATTTGTATTAAAAATCAGGAGACTAAATCCTGGAATGCCTGTGAAAAGCCTTCGGTCTTATTTCTACCACAAAAAAAAAAAAAAAAAAATGGAAAACTGAGCAGTGGTACGGTACCTAGAGGTCCTCATGGCATTATCCAAGAGTCCTTTGCGGGCATATACTGCAAAGTTCCCTTGTATACTCTGATCTATTATGCATGTGATAGTTGTCAATCAATGTCAATAAATTGCAAAAATGATTGGAGGTGGGGCTGCGTAACTCGTCGAAAATCGATGTATATGATGATCTTGTTGTATTTTCGATTCTTTCTTTATCTTTGTTTCCTTGAATAAACTAAGCAGCATTCGACTAAGCTGTGTTATATTTTCGATTCTTTTCTTTACATGTTAACACAAACTATCCGTCTCGACTTACTATTCTTCCCGCTCTTTCTCTCACTCTCTCTCTCTTGATTTACACGTGCGAATACGCAAATTAAGTTCATAGTCTGTTACGTCATTATCTCGCACAGATCTTTTTAGCTGTTGAAATTCAAGGCTCAGTGAAGGGTTTAGGAATTGCTTAGTGTAATCCAGTATGAAAGCAAACACTTCGGCTCACTTACATCACACGTCACACTGTACAATACATGTCTATTTGATGGGATTGGTTGAACAAAATTGCGAAATCTTTGAGAAACCCTTTCACAATGCAGTAAACAGAAATTGAAAAAAACAAACACATTTATTTAGCATTATTCCATGGGAATTACGAAACAACAAAATGATTTAGGACGTCCTTTGGGAATATTTTTTGCGCGAAAACCCTTATCAAATTTAATTGAACTAATTTTTTTGTTAAATACTTCGAACGTCGACAAACATGGCCCTCGGAATGTATGTGGCTTAATGCTGACGTTCTCGGTATTTGCACTCGTCACTTAATGTCTTAGAATCGCTTACATAATTTCCCTCACTCGATCACGAAATCAAAGAACAAATAAACGGATAAATAAAGAATCAACGAATCAACGAATCAACGAATCAACGAATCAACGAATCAACGAATC